ACTGATCCCACCAATGGCCAGGTGGTCCCTATGATTTCTTTTTCTTTGAGTTATCGTAGTGGATCCATTTTTCATCACTAGTGACTACACGGTGCAAAAAACCCTTTCGTTTATGCCTGGCAAGCAGCATTTCACATGTGAAAAATCGGCGTTCAACGTTTCTCGGCTTCAGTTCATATGGAACCCAATTTCCTTGCTTTTGAATCATTCCCAACGATTTTAAGCGATGTGAAATTGCTGGTTGAGTCACTCCTAATGTAAGTGCAAGTGCTTCTTGCGTTTGGCACGAATCTTCATCCAATAATGCTTCCAATTCCGCGTCATCGTACACTTTCGGCCTTCCGCTACGTTCTTTGTCTTCGACGTCAAATTCACCGTTCTTAAACTTTTGAAACCGCTCACGGCAACTTCTCTCACTTAAGGCAGCCTCACCATATGCTTCTACAAGCAATCGATGTGCCTCAGCTGCAGATTTCTTCAAATTAAAGAAGTAAATCAAAAGCTCCCGCAAATGATGCTTATTCGGCTCAAAACTCGACATTTTCGCATGAAAAAAGATATAAGATGCTGATGCAAAATCGCTAATATTTCAAGGTTATGTTCTTGCCAGATATCCAACTTTTTTTTTTATTTGCGTAGGAGAAAAAATCTTCGCAGCGCCCTCTCCCGAGGGGGACCCGCACCACTGGATGTGCCGGATTCGACCGCCCCGTGATCACGAGGATACACCGGAACGGCCGCCTACCGACTAAAAAACTCCCCCTGGTCCAAGCAATACCTCAAGGCATAAGTGGGAGCACCCCGGAACCGCTTACAGACATTACGTCAGGGTGCCCCCGAAATGCTCGCGGGATGGCTTCCACCGCACATGCGGGAACGCCTATTTATTAGGTGTACAAAAAAGTTCTGAGCTTTAGATTTGATACAACCGAAATAACAATTTAAATTTTATATATCTTCCCGCCCTTTTGGGGTTTTAAAACAGTAACATTTAACCTCCTGAAATGCGATACGGTTTGGCGTTTGATGCACATAACCTCAAAAATCAGTAGTGTTCACGATGGCAATTACAAAAGAGCATATTCGATTTTCCATCCACTTCGCGTTTCATCTGAAGAAAAATGCTGCTGAAGCCACTGAAATGATTTGTGCTGCATATGGAGAGAACGCTGTAAGTCATGCAACATGCAAAAGGTGGTATCAAAAGTTTCGCCAAGGAGATTTCAGTCTTAAAGATGAATCGCGTGCTGGACGCCCTGAAAAGATTGAAACGGACGAATTGCAAGCACTGCTGGATATAAACTCTGCGCAAACTGAAAAGGAGCTTGCAGAACAGCTTGGCGTTACGCAGCAAGCCATTTCCGTACGATTACATACGATAAAAGTATACGATTACATACGAAAAAGCTCAGAACTTTTTTGTACACCTAATATATAACTGAAACGCTAAATATATATACAATATTTACATAAGTACTTATTCTAACCGCTACGAGAAGTCAGAGCCCCACAAGAGAGATGGCGGCACAAGTGGATGTACCACCCGGGCCCTCCGATCCCTCCTACGGTCCCTCTCTGCTCTCTCCTTCGCTCTCATGACGACTTCGCAAAACCGCGCGAAAGCCGTCCACGCTACATAAGAGCCCATGATGGCCTCGATCACCCGAGCGTACTCTCGGTTTAGATCTAGATCCAGACCGAGAGTCGCGAACAAGTTCTCCCTCTCCGCATCCCACGAGGGACAGCGAAGGAGGGTGTGCACACCATTGTCTATCGCCGCCCGGCAGTGTCGGCAAATCGGTGACTCACTTTTCCTGATTTCGTGCAGGTACGCCTCAAAACACCCGTGACCCATAATGACTTGGGTCATTCTGTACGTGAGGCCACCGTGAGCCCTCGCCATCCAAGCGCTTTTCCTTCCCACGAGAGCCCCTCGGACCGCAGGTCCAGGTTGCCCGCGGAAGCTCCTCCAGCCGTTTCCTCCATCTAGCGATGGACCTACACAACTCATCATCCCGGATATGGCTCATCGCTTTGGGAACGACAAAACCATCCCGTTCAATGAGAAACTTCGCCTCAGATACGACCGCCTGAGCCGATCGGCCAGTAAATCAAATGGGACCAGCTTCGCCAGCAACAAAGATGCTTCGTACGAGACGGTCCTGTAGCTTCGGATAATTCGAAGCGCCAGCTGCCTCTGCAGCCTCGTCGCAGCACGCCGAGTGACCCCGTCAATCGCGATCGCTTGTGCCCAGACAGGGGCTCCGTATAGAACGACCGACATTACAACAGTCGCGTACACCCTCCGCCTGCACTCTCCCAGGCCACCGATATTGACCGTTAACCTGCCCAGGGACGCCGCCATGCCCAGGGCCTTAGGGACGAGACGCCGAAAATATTCCCTAAAGGTCCATCTTGAGTCCAAGACCAAGCCCAAATATTTCATCGAGCTCTTTACCTCGATCTCCATATTTCCAATACGTAGGCTCGCACGTGGCACCTCCCGCGCAAAAGCCACAGCCTCCGTCTTTTTTATGGACACCTTCAAGCCCAGGCATTCAATCGCCCTCACTACGACGGTTGCCCCCAATTCAGCCCTGACAACCGCCTCGCGGAAAGACGGACCCCTCACAACCAAAAGAGTGTCGTCCGCGTAACAAATCAACGAGCACCCACCGGCAGACCGATACGCAAGACAGAATCGTATTCAATATTCCACAGGGTTGGTCCTAAGACCGAACCCTGCGGAACGCCGCACCTCATAGAGGACTCTACGTACCGGTCGTCCCTATCGATGTAGGATAGCCACTTGTAGGACGCGCCGGAGGTACCCCGGAACCCCCTTCTCCACAAGGGCCCTCCTGATGACCGGCCACGGGAGGGAGTTGAAAGCATTGGCTATGTCAAATGACACAGCCAATACCACGCCCCCGTTCCGCACCGCGTCATCCACGATCAATACGGAGTCTCCTGATCGCGTCTATCGTCGACCTGTTTGGTCGGAAACCGTATTGAGCCTCCGCGATATCCCTGAACGCGTCCAAATAACGCACAAGACGGATACATATGATCCTCTCGAAGAGCTTGCCCGCCTCGCTCAACAGGCAGATCGGCCTGTACGATGAGGGAGCGAGGTCAGGCTTGCCGGGCTTCTTTAAGGGGGGAACCTCATGTAAAATGAAATTTTTTAGCCATTTTATTTTTTTGCTTAAATTGATAGGAAATTTCCTCAAAAATACGAGAAAAAAAGTTAGAAAGTGATCCGAGAGGTCCTTGTACTTTATTTTCAAAAGAAAGTAAACAGTCGAATTGGGCGAAGCACTCAAATAGTCGAGCGCTCGTCGGACAATCGGCCTTTCGGTTCCTTTGTAATAAAATTTGACTTGGCTGTGTTAGTTTTTTATGCTATCTTACAGTTTGAAGAAGAGGAGGGTCTACTCTATGGCCCTGGAATCGCAGATTAGCAAAAAACTGTGGTAAGTTAGAACGAATTACGAATTTTTTCACGATTTTTCTATTACTCAAACTTTAAACGCGTTTTTCTCGAAACGCAAAATTTCGCACGCCGTGCAACGTAGCTCAAAAACTAATCATTCGATCTTTATGAAATTTGGTATAGAAATTCTATAGATATTTGACCTCAGCATGACGAGCTCCGATTTTTATTTTTTTTATTTAAAACATTGTTATTAACAATTGTTTATAAAAGAAAATCCTTTTTTTTTTCAAAACTTCGCCATTTTTGTAAATTTGCAAATTTTAATAAAAAGGGACCGTCATGCTGAGCGTTTTTGCATAAATTAAAGAACCCATTTTGTATTTTTTGTTTCAGATCATTTTTGTGACCTGTATGCTGCACGGCGCATTTTCAAGACGCTGTTTTCAAGCCGCCATTGCACCGTTTTATTCTTAACGATTAGTCTTAAAAAAATATTTTCTTTCAATATTATAACGTAAATAAATTGTGCCTTAAATTGCAAATTAATCTACGCATTACATTTTTCAAAAAAAATTCCTGAAAAACAGGCCATTTACATGAGGTTCCCCCCTTAACAGCATCAAGCGCGCCATTTTCCACGGCGCTGGAAATACACCCTCCCTGAGGCATGCCGTAAAGCAAGACGTCCACATTCGCGCAAGGACAATCGAGGTGTCCTTTACGAGTCGGCCCGATATCCCGTCAGGGCCCGGAGCCTTACCAACATTTATCTTGGCAACAGCCACGGAAACCTCCTCCCCAGTCACAGCCAGGGCCTCGTCCCACCCAACGAGAGAGGGATCCAGATCGAAATCCCCCGCCCACGGAAACAAGGCCCCAACCACGCCCCTCACCACTGCAGGAGGAAGGGACTCCACCAAACTAGACGTCCTACGCAGCTTGTCGAGGACGACGCGATACGGCATACCCCAGGGGTCCGCATCCAGCGTTTCGAGCAGACCCTGCCACAGAATCAGTTTCGATTTTCTGATCGCATTTCTAAGTAGTTTTTTCGCTTCGCGTAGACCGTCCCAGAGATTCCGAACCATTTCAGTATCCTGGTACTTACGACGCCGTCTCAGAATGCACCTTCGGACACGCACGCATCGAACGCGAAGATCCGCGATCTCTTCGTTCCACCAGTAGACCGATGGTCTACCGGCAGTTTTAAGACGCGGCATAGCGACATCTGAGATTTCTTTTAGCGCAGTGTCTATTCTATCGGCCAATTGGTCCGCCGACATGTCCCCCTGAGGAAGGGAAGACCATGCCTTCACGTTGGCCGCCGCGCACAACAAGTCTACATTGATCCTACGGACACACCACCGAGGGAAATGTTTTTCGGTTGCGACCCTTCTAAGCGGGCCCACTATCCGTTCTAGCACCTCCATGAACACATAACGGTGATCCGAGAGGGACTCGGTGTCCACCGCAACACGCCAGTTACAAATGTGCCTGGCGGCCGCAGCCGAGGTCCGCGAGAGGTCCACGCACGATACGCCCCTCGGATGCACGCACGTAGGCACGAACCCTTCGTTAAGAAGAATCCAGGCCAGCCGCCCAACGGGCTAGAGTTCTTCCTCTGCGATTGGATTCCCCCCGATCCCAAGCAGGAGACCGAGCATTAAAGTCATGGAGCACGAGTAGAGATTTGCGACTGTACACGCGCACCAAGATCACGATCACACAGACCTCTCTCGAACTCGGCATCCGGTAGATTGGGGGAGAAGTAGCAACTAAAAACCACTAATTCTCCCCACTCCACCGCGACAAAACCCTCTCCCCTGAAAAGAGGAGAACATGGCACATTCGAATACTGCCAAGCCAGCGCAGCCATCGGCGGAACATCCGAAGAGAAGAGCCAACATCCGCCACGGATCGAATGCGGCTCCGAAACCGCCACGAGACCGAGTCTCTCCTCCCGCGCACACCCGCGCGATTAAATCCTGCGCAGGTCTTGATCTGTTCACATTTATTTGTCCAATGCTAACCATTGGACGTGTCCATCGATATCCCCTCCTCCACAAGGGGAACACTTTCCGCCGCAAGAACACTCGGCTCTACATGTTCGTTACGCACTACGTCCCTGTCCTTGTCACCCGACCCAGCAGCCACGGTCGCACGCACCGGACTGTTGTAGGGAATACATCCTTCCCCTCCAGCCCTATGCCCAGCCGGGAGGTTTCTGGCCACGCAGACGGGACAGTGAGGTGAAGCCCGACAACGAACGGCCGTGTGCCCCTCCTCACCGCAGTTGAAGCACCCGCTACTCCTGTCTACAGTGTTCCTGCAGTTGGCTCTCGTATATCCGACCGCGAAACAACGGTAGCATTGCAACTTTCGTTTGGCCAGCGGTACCAATCGCACTCGCGACCAACCCACACGAAGTCCTCCGTCCCTTTGCAACAGATCCGCGCAAGTCTCAGGGTACTGCAACCACGCACTGTTTAGGCCGCCCCTACCGGGCCTCAGTGGGTCAACGCGAACGTCGTTCGGTAGCGCCTTTCCACGTGCCGCAACAGCCACCTTTATCCCCTCGGCCTCCACCGACTTGTCCAGATCGAGGAGACGAAACTCGGTCCTCCTGACCGGACGAATCACTCTCACTCCCTTTCGATCCTTGAAAAGGGAGTTGAATCTCTCTGCCAAGGAATCCGCTTTCGCTTCAGCGTCCTCTCCCGGATCTCCACCAGAAGACCATCAGTCTGCGTCCGCCTAATCCTAGTATCGGTGATGCCCAGTTCCTCCAGCGGAACACCGGTCCTCGCTTCACCCATTACGTCCGCATATGACGGACCTTCCTCGTCACAGCGGATCATAACAACTGCAGAGTTCCGCTTTCGGGTTCCCGCGCGGGCTGTCTTTTTGGGAGGACCCGTAGTTTTGGTCCCAGACTTGGGACGAGCCCGAGGATCTCTCCCGGAAACCGCCACCCTATCGCGAGTTTTCCGCGTAGCCATCGCATAAGACAGGTCTCTTCTCACCGTCCCAACAGCACTGGCACTGTCCGACTGTTACCGGCGCATTCGATACACGCGCGGGTAAGCCACCGCCACGATTGACAGTCACCTCTTTTCTCTTCTTCCTCCTTCTTCTTTTTCCCAAAACGATCACCCAAGGCTCACTCCTCTCGGGACCCGAGGAAGGAAGACAGTACGGATGATCCCCTGTCCGCGGATCAGCATCCTCCCGCACGATCCGACCCCTCACGTCAACCATTTTCCGCACAGATGAGTCCTCTAAAAGCGCCTTGGTGACTCCCCTCAACGCAGGGCGGCGCGCAGGAGGAATATCCCCAACCACGAGGAACACCCGCACCCAGAGGAGAGGCGCGTGAGGATCGGCCAGTTTCCCCACGCTCTCTCCCTCCTGTCGCTTAACAGCCATGAAGCTCCCTCCTCAAGATCTTGACCACCTCACGGAGACCATCTCTGTCTCTCTGGACTAACCCCATTTCTATCTTGAGTGCTTCCACTTCTTGCTCAAGCTGGTGACATCGTCCCTTCAATGTCCTCGCTGGCTCCTGAGTCCTGGCC